GCTTTATTCATTTATTGATCAGTGTTTGAATCTGTCACTTGTAAAATGCTCATTTCTGAAAATTGTAAGATAGTTTATGAAATTCAATACATATAGAATGAACATTTTAAAAGCTGAATAACAAAATAAAAAGGACAGAAATAGACCTTGCCAGGCCCTGGGAAGGATAAGCTGAAGGGTGTGGTGTGGATGGATGTATTTGATTTTTTCGATGACACACACACCTACTTACTATGGGGACTGTTTCTCAATGCAGAAAACTCTCCAGTTGCTCAAAACGCAGTGTGTCTCTGTTGCTGAGAAACACATTCTTACAATCTCAAGAGATTCTTCAAAAGGGAACTAGCCCCAAATAACGAGTTCTTGTCTTGGGAGAGGAACATACTCCCTTGGGAGTTTACTACTAGGTAGATAGAAATATTTTAAAGATAGAACCTATTGCCCTTCTCTTTTCTCATCATGTTCCCATCTATCACCACTCTTCCCTGTCCTCATTTAGGAAAGTGAGTTTCTTACAAATTCACTTATATTTTGTATCTGCTTAACTTTTAAGAATAAGGTTATATGGGGAAAGAAAAAAAAAAAGACCTTCAAATTTTACACACCTAGAGCCAAGGAAAGACAATTTGACCCTAAGATCTCTTTAAAAATAGCAGAATAGTTTAGGGGAAGGTAATATAGCACAGGAGTGATAAAGAATACAGATATTGGAACCAGAAAGTTCTGAGACACCAATGACGACATTCCTTTCCACTAGTTCTATGATGGAAAGGGAACTATTGGATTTTAAAATCAGGTATAATGCCTCACTGAGGTCAAGTGAGACAAATAAAATAAAAGATTATAAGGTATTTGTCATGGTAGCAGGTTGATGATAATAAACAAAGTCAAAAACAAAGTTTGGCCACTTACTAAGCAATTTACATGTGTCATTTCATTTCATTAGTATAAAAATCTTATGAGATAAATATTATTATTACCTTCATTTTACAGAGGAAGAACCTGAGATAGAGAGCTAACAGATACTCTGTAAAAAGTACTCTGATAGACGCCTGGGGTCTCACAGTGCCTAAGATTCAGGAATTTGAACTCCTCTTGCAGAGTAAGGATGAGCAATACATAATTAGAACTCAGATTCCCTCAGAGAGCAACATGCATATTTAAAATAACACTTTACTGTCTTTTGTGTCTCCATCACCTATTATGATACCCATAGTAGATACTCAATTAATATTTATTGAGTTTATCTAAACTGAAAAAAAAATGTTCACGCTTTATTACAGGCCAGTTTCTTTCCCGGAGGATTCTAAGGCAGCATCTGAAGAGAACACATCCCCATCTGGAGGCCAAGAAAACAAATTCTATCCAATTCACAGCTAAATTGCATTTCTCCTTCCAACCCCATACTTCACACTGACCGAGGTGCTCTAATAGAAACAGGCTAACCAATCCATCTATCCGCCAAGCAGCAGCGGTGCTCCAAAGGCAGATGAATCTTAGAACCAAGGTTTCAGGTGCTATGCAGCAATGGGAGAAAGACTGTCAAACCTGCAATAGGAAGATTTCTCAGCTAACTGTTGGGAGCCCGCTAAACACGACATTTAAACTGTTCTCCAGCAATCTCACACTCTGTTCAGGCATGCCATCTGTAAATTCCTAATTAATACTAGAGAACCACATTGTTGTCTATTTTTTTTTAAGACTCATTTTGATGATAATATTTTGATACTATTTTTATTGAAAAATAATCTTTTTTAGGATTTAGTTAAGATTTATTTTGACCATTTTTAAACTCTTTATTAAAATCATCAGAATATTGTTTCTGTTTTATGTTTCGGTTTTTTGGTCATGAGGCACGTGGGATATCTTAGTTCCCCGACCAGGGATCAAACCTGCAATCCCTGCATTGGAAGGTGGAGTCTTAACCACTGGACCGCCAGGGAAATCCCCACGCTGTTTTCTAAGTAGGATTCAGGGGGAGGTATCTAATTGTGTGTTTTGTCTCCTCACTCTTCTTCCTTTTAATGCTTGACCCAAGAGCACCAGACAGATCAAAGAAGCAACAAGGTTGAAACTGTGCCAGGTCTAATGGAGAATTTGTACCCTCTTAGCATATCTCTGACTCTAATAGGCTTCCTTTATGAGAAAATAACACATTAGATTTTAATCATGGCAGGTTTTCCAAACACTTGAACTGTGATAATATAATAACCTCTTCACGACTTGATTAGGGAATGTGTACTGTGACTATAAAAGTACATGTGCTTGAGTCTGATCATGCAGGGCCATGCTGGGGCCAACTCGTCCTGTCTCATGAGAAGCTCATGTGCCATCTTTGTAAGTGCGTTCAGTAGCCTCAGGGTGGTAACCTGAAATCAGCCATGATGGCAGTGTATACACCGTGACATTGGCAAATGCAACAGATTGGGCTATTTTCTTTTCTGGAAAAATTGTGCACATTTATTTCTATCACTGTTGCCAACAGAAGAAAGGTACACAGACTCTTCATTAAGACAATCTAATAGTATATCTTGTTCAGCACAAACAACACTCTAGAGGGTCATGAGGGAAACCTGGCCCCAAAATAGCTAACTCGCAGGCTGGGTGCGGAAGCCCTGGATGAGGTCACCTTTCCATTCTCTTTACAATACACTGGGGGGCCACACTGCTTAGCTGGTAATTCTAAAAAGGAAGAAAAGCCTGTTCTAACCTTGATGCTTCATATTAGAGATTTATTATTCACAGGTGCCTACTTTTAAAACTGATGTGAGAAATCTTCAACAAAAGACATCACTACAGTAAAACCATGAACACCAGAAAAATAAATAAATAAAGAACATAGTAAGAAAAAAGATAGAAGGGAGCAACTGAAACAAAATAAAGCTGAAGAAAACAACCAAAGTAGAAGACACTGAACTCTGAGATTCCTGGAGTCAAGAGATAAAGGGGAGAGAGGAAAGATTCCTTTATATCTGAGAGATGGTCTTCAGAAAAAAACAAAGTTGCCTTCAACTTGAATAGACATTTTCCAAATGAGGCATGAAGCCGCATAACACATGGTATAATCCCCAAAACTGCAGACGTTCAGATAATTAGATTATCAAGTATATGCTGAATATGTAACATACAAAATGAAGATCTGACAGTCTTTTTATTATTTTGTTCATTTTTTTTTTTTACTGTTGCCAGGTTAGCTTTAGACTAGCTGCCGTCATCCTTTTCATCTTGAAGCCACTGGGAGCTCTGCTCTAGAGCTGATTTTAAAAAGGACGTGGCAGGAAGAGGGAAAAGGCAAGTTGGGAGGACTAAAAGGAAGGGAGGCTTCATGGAGGTTCTTACAGGAATTCTTTCATCCAGTTAGAAAAACATCTGAAGCGCAACTCCTCTCTCTGCAGTCCAGACTCCCAGCTTTGCCCCTTCTCAGTTTACACTGGTCAGTACTGATTCAGGGTGAGCAATGTTTTCTTTTTTTTGCAAAGATGAAAGGTGCTTAAAGCAGGAAGAGATTCATCTGACCCTGGAATGAAATCACTGATTTCTACAGTTAGACTGAACCCTTAGAGACAACTCTGTGCTCTCCTGCTGAAGAAGGAGTCCTTTCTTCTATATCACCTCTAGGTCATCAGACAAGCATGGATGATTTCTAGGGACAGGGAACTCCTGACTTACAAAACAGTATTTTTTGGAGGTAGCTCTAATTGACATAAGTTGTGGTCTTATAATGATCCCAAATGTACATTCCTATTAATTATACACAGTGGTTGTGCTTAGCCCACCAATATGATTCCGACATGACAGCCCTAAGTATGAGAAGGTAAATCCCTCTTCTTTATACTTTTATCTCCTCTTCTCCTGTCTGAGCATACCTATTCCCATCCATCAGTGATTACCAAAGAAAATTCTTTGGAAAAGAGTTCTTTTCTTTCTGGGAAGAAATGAACAATGAGTTTCAACAGCAAAATATTAAATATTGACTGGAATTTGATAATTAGCCTAATATTCTAATGAATGTGTGGGAACCAGAATTAGTTCATTTAATAATGCAGGTTTAGGCTGCCAAGGTACTTAAAATGTACCAAATTTTGGAACTATATTAAACATAATATAACCTTTCTCTGATGTTTTGGAAGGTTTAATAAGATCCCAGAAGGCATCAGGGCAACCTTCATGGCTACATTTTTTATTGCAACACAGCTTTATGAAAGTGCCAGTGAAGTGAATGTTCTAGCTAACAAAATAAAAAATTTTCAGCAATATCAAGGGGCTATTTGGTAATTTTTTTTGTTTTGTTTTACATTTAAGTTCGTTCCTATTACATCATTGACTCTAGTTCCACTTTCCCTTTAATTGACTTTAATCAACATTTATAAGCTTTTACCCAAGACACAAAATCCCATAGCATCAGCAAAGCACAGTAAACTGCAACCAAGGAACACAGAAAATTCTTAACTCTCATTTCATTGTCCCTTCCTGTCAAAATAGCACTTACCAAAAAAACTGTTTTAAATCTAAGAAAAAAAAAATGTAGAAAGCATTGGAAAAGTATGACACCAAATAGAAAGAATTATAAAATAGAGCTGTTGATGAACCAACTCAGTTTCCTTTTTAGTTTACGTGGTAAGGCAATTACTATGTGTCATCATGTTATATTTATCTGGAGCCAAGCAAATAGAGGGAGAGATACGATTTGAATGAAATCTTGAGGTCCTTGTGGGCTCCGTAAATACACGGATCAGTGTATTTTCCCATTCAGTTTTTCAGTGTTTGGTCTCTCCTTGGCCCATGTGCAGAAGCTAAAAGGATTTTCCAGACACTTACATAACAGTAAGAGTAACTGTCCTGTGTCAGGAATTCCAGGTAAACCTCCAAACCACAGAAAGACCCTTCGGCAACCATGTCCCACTATAGTGTTTTAAAAGAGCCCCACTTAAGCCAGCAGACATCTCCCTTAGCAAAGCATACCATCCCCTGCCGCCAGCTCTAAGAGCAATAGAACTGACCTTCAGAGGAGAGATGTGAGACTGCAGGACGTATCCATGGACATTTTCTATCTGAGACAGGTTCTTTTCTGACACGTGCACCAGTTCAGGGCCTCTCACTTCGTGGGTCAGTCGAGGTAAGGAATGATCGTGTGGAGCATCCTCATCTTGATAGCGATACTTCTAGGAGAAAAGACAAAAAGAGAAAAAAAGCATGAGTGTTTGCAAAAGTTACCATTCTGAACTTCACGTTCTCACTTCATTTACAGCACACAGTGTGAGCCTATTGCTGACTCACCCAACAGGCTTTGTTTCAGCCCCTTTGGGTGGTCACCATAAACCAGGTCAACGGCAAGCCACATTGAACCAACCATCAATGCCAACCGATGCTGATGACTTGTCTTTGTCTATAATGTACTATCTCTGTTTATAAAACATAGAAGTGTGATAACAAATGAGACTGAGACAATTTACCTAAGTAGCTGAGGAGGTATCCCTCCAAAGGATCAAAATGGCTAAATATGTGCTAAAAATTTTACGTCAAAGGTGAAAAAGAAAAAAAAAAGTACAGAGCAAGAAGACAGAATTCTGATGCAACCAGTTGGGGAATCTAATTTTGACTCAGAAAGTATGAAAGTTGTAAATTTTCTAGGAAATAAGGGATAAAATTTCTGCCACCTGTATTGTTTGTATTGGTCTCCAAAGAAAGACGGAGAAGGCAATGGCACCCCACTCCAGTACTCTTGCCTGGAGAATCCCATGGACTGAGGAGCCTGGTGGGCTGCAGTCCATGGGGTCGCTAAGAGTCAGACATGACTGAGCGACTTCACTTTCACTTTTCACTTTCATGCACTGGAGAAGGAAATGGCAACCCACTCCAGCGTTCTTGTCTTGAGAATCCCAGGGATGGGGGAGCCTGGTGGGCTGCCGTCTACAGGATCACACAGAGTTGGACACGACTGAAGTGACTTAGCAGCAGCAGCAGCCAATTCATATCCAAGGAGGAGGAGTGTTGATTTGGGTTAGTTAGACTCTAGGGCAAAGGTTCACAATTTCCAAAGATGGAGTTTTCGTTTAAAGAACTTAAAAATCAAGGCAAAAAAAAAAAAAAAATCTGCCTGCATTATATCGAGAGGACTCCCTGAGGGGAAACAGATAATCGTTCTTTCTCTTGGTCCCTTTTGCTCTTTGTCATCCTCCTTCCATATGCCTGTAATAGTGAGAGCATCCTCTGTCAACAGTAAGGCCCTCCTCTGGGTCTTCCAAGCACACCTAAGGAAGCTGGCAGAGAGACAAAAGGGTCAGGACAAGGCATGCTCTCTGGAGGGCAGACACGGCCATGGGTCAATCTCCATCTCCAGCCTTGGGCTGGGGGTCCCGTTTTTCTGTCTCTCTTTGCTTCTCACCCCATTTCCTTCAGACCTACCCCATTGTTAGAATCTCATTGTTTCATGGCTATTAGTCTACTTGGGAAAGAAAAAAGGGAGCACTCTATATCCCACGCACAACCCAGCTAATGAAATGTTAGTTTGCTTTGTTTTTCCTTTGTTCCCTGTGAATGGCAAGGGGTATCAGGGGCAGAGGTCCAAACATTGACATAACACAACAGGTTTACCGTAATGCCCACCACTTCCCAGTACCCCTTTAGTATCATCACCAACAGGTACTATCAACATCAGGTTACTAACAACACATCTTCTTACAAAATCATGCTTATGTTTCTGTCATTTTTAGGTGAAAAATATGATTTCTTAGACATCACAGCGCTCTAGCTGACTCATAAACTGACAGTAACAAGAGGAACCACTCAGTTTTGGCAATTTAATCTGGAGTCCATTCTTGCTCAGAAGTTGATCATCATTACTTGCATTTTCCAGGGAGGCTTTCCACAATGTTCCAAGCTTAATATCAGTTTCAAAACAAAAATTATAGCTGACAATATCATGAAGCAGTTTGCAAAGGACTCTCATTTATTTCTTTCACTGCAATTCTTCTTATCTATGATGCTCCATTTTACTTATGAGAGAACCGACATTTCGAGAGGTTAAGAGACTTGTCCGGGACCCGCTACGTACTGGTCATGAGAGCCGGGACCCTGTCCAGGTAATGGAAATCTCAATCCTCTTTCTACTCTCATAAAGCACCTCCCACCCCGCCCCCATTCCCAAAAGATGAAATCCAAGCCTACAGCAGCTTGGTTAAAAAAAAAAGTACTTCATGGAGGACAGACAACAAAATGAGGCTAGAACATTCCTCTGCATTACAAAATACCATACTTTTATTTTCCTAACTCTATGAATAATTCGGGAAGGTCATCTGACTTAGAAACATGAATCAAGCTTAATATTCGTTCTGGATCAGTTATGTGGTGTTTACTGGAAATGGAATAATGTCACACACATGCCCAGTTTAGTGTCTCTGGCTTTCAGCCTACAGCCCCTCCACGACTCCTGCCCCCTCTTCAGGTCTCTCTCTGGAGGCACTGCCGTCTCTGTGATCCCCCGAGCCAGCAAAGTAGGAGTCAGTGAGTCTCCATCCTCTCTTTTACCCCCTACCATCTGCCAATTCAATAAATCACTGAGTCTGCCTCACTTCTGTCTCAGATAGCTCTTGAGCCTCCTCGGTCCTCATCCCCCACCACCTCCGTTAACCTCTGCCCACGTTCGAGTTTGCAGCGCTCAGCTGGACCAAAGCAACAGCCTCTGGGCTGGACAGACTGCTGCCGAGGCTGCCCCTTTCCCATGCATCCTTGCCAACAGGGGTCCCCAACCCTCGGGCCACGAACGAATAGCAGTCTGTGGCCTGTGGGGAACTGGGTCGCACAACAGAAGTGAGTGGCCGGCGAGCAAGTGAAGCTTCATCTGTGTGTGCAGCTGCCCCCCCATCGCCTGAGCACCACCTCCTGCCAGATCAGAGGCAGGATAATCAGGTCATGTGCTTGAATCATCCTGAATCCATCCGTGCCCCACCCCAGCCCAGCGAAATAAAATGTCTTCCACAACACTGGTCCCTGTGCTAAAACGGTTCAGGATGGCTGCTGTACATATGCCAAGGGGCTGGCTTTCTGAATCTTACAGTGACAGAGTCTTTCTCTTTAAAACACCTAGTGGCTCCCACTGACCACCTAACAGCTCAAGCTTCCTTTCCTCCTATTACGTGACCCCCCAACACCACTCATGAGCTGAGTGCCCACTAGTGCTGACTCTCGTATCTCACCGCTCTCACTGCAGGGCTATGGAATAAACATAAACCATCACCATAAACCATTACCTCCAATTTTAAAGGATTTTTTAAAAAGTTGTTAAATACACATAAAATTTACCATCTGAACTGTTTAAGCATATGAAGGTGACTTAGTTGCTCAGTTGTGTCTGACTCTTTGTGATCCCATGGACTGTAGCCTGCCAGTCTCCTCTGTCCATGGAATTTTCTAGGCAAGAATACTGGAGTGGGTTGCCATTCCCTTCTCCAGGGGATCTTCCCAACTCAGGAATCCAACCTGGGTCTCCTGCATTTGCAGGCAGATTCTCTATCATCTGAGCCACCAGGGAAGCCCCTTTTATGTGTATAGTTCAGTAATATTAAGTTTATTCACACTGGCGTGCAACCGATCTTCAGATTTCATCTTCCAAAACTGAAACTCTTTACTCATTAAACAACTCACCATTTTCTCACCTAAGCCCCTGGCAGCCCCCATTCTACTTTATATAAATTTGACTACTCTATGAATTTGACAATTCCACCTCATGTCAGTGGAATCATACGGTATTTGCTTCTCATGACTGGCTTACTTCGTAGTGCCTTCAAGTTTCCTCCATAGTGTACCATGTTATAGGATTTCCTTCCTTCTAAGGCTAAATAATATCCCATTGTATGTATACACCATATTTTGTTTCTTCATCCATCTGTAGATGATCTGGTGGTTGCTTCGACCTCTTGGCTATTGTGGGTAAAGCTGTTATGAGTATGCATTTACAAAAACATGTTTGGAGCTATGCTTTCAATTATTTTGTAGAGATACCCAGAAGTGGAATTGCTAGATCATATGACAATTCCATTTTTAGTTTTTTGAGGAATTTTTTAAGCTTTAAAAACTTCAACATATGTAAAGCTATATTCATGTCACTCATCACAGCCAAGAAGTGCTCATGTTCTAAAACCTAAATATCCAAGAACACCAAAAGTAAAATTTTGCAAAGTTAAACTGATTATAGAAGCTCCTCAAAGATTCTTGCAGTAAGATTCAGCTGGTATAGAGAAAGATTTCATTCATAAAAATGTACATCTCATTGAATTGTTTGGCAAAACAAATCAGGATACAGATAATAAACTTGGTTAAACTTACATGGTACTGCAAATAACTTATTTAATTATTTTCATAAAATTAAGACCCAATTTGAATAGTGATACAGGCTTAAATTAGACTGTAAAGTCAATCTTGATGTTCAGTTAATGCTTTATTAGTAAAAATTGTTCATCTTAACATTCATTGATCCTCTGGCCTCATTCTTGATATTACCTTTTCTCAGAAGCTTTCATGAAATGCAAATCTGAGGTTTTGTGGGTGTTCCCATAGCTACCTATACTCTCCAAATCACAGATTTTATCATGCTATATGATTGTGTATAGTTTGAGTTTTTACATTGCACTATAAGGTTCTGTGAGAACAGGGGCCATTTGGGTCTACTTTATCCCCATATCTTCAGTCCTTTAACCAAATGCCTGGCACATATGCTCAATAACTATTTATTGAATATAGTTATGACTGACAATTAAACAAATTGATGAATTGGGTATAACCTGCTCAAGCTACCAAGTAATTCTGGCTCCTGAATGCAACCTCTTTCATTGTAAAACATTGTCAACTCAGGTTTAAGCAAAAACAGGCCACATCATTGGACTGACAATCTTAAAGGACATCAGATTCCTAAGCATTATATATCTCTCACCACATCTTTTCTTTCAGTAATATATGCTAAGAACCCAAACTGAATGTGAACCAGTTCTTGACCTTGAGAAGGCCACAAATTACTGAGTAAATAATACATAGGTTCAGCTAAGTCACATGTGCAGTGATAATAACTGTATTACTGAGTGTAAACTGAGTTTTGTGTAAACAACTGTATTATTGAGTAAAAACTGAGTTTTACTGAGTGTAAACTGAGTGTTAACTGTATTACTGAGTGTAAACTGAGAAATGGGTAATCAAGAGCTCTGAAGCTTTCCAGATTGAAAGAGGATCTAGAATGATAATAGAAAGAAACTGCTGCTTTACTGACTATGCCAAAGCCTTTGACTGTGTGGATCATAACAAACTGGAAAATTCTTAAAGGGATGGGATTACCAGTCCACCTGACCTGCCTCCTGAAAAATCTGTATCCAGGTCAAGAAGCAACAGTCAGAACGGGACATGGAACAGTAAACTGGTTCCACATCGGGAAAGGAGTACGTCAAGGCTGCATATTGTCACCCTGCTGATTTAACTTATATGTACAGTACATCATGAGAAATGCTGGGCTGGATGAAGCACAACCTGGAATCAAGATTGCTGGGAGAAATACCAATAACCTCAGATACACAGATGACACCACCCTTATGGCAGAAAGTAAAGAAGAACTAAAGATCCTCTTGATGAAAGTGAAAGGGGAGAGTGAAAAAGTTGGCTTGAGGCTCAACATTCAGAAAACTAAGATCATGGCATCTGGTCCCATCACTTTATAGCAATAGGTGGGGAAACAAGGGAAACAGTGAGAGACTTTATTTTCTCGGGCTCCAAAATCTCTGCAGATGGTGACTGAAGCCGTGAAATTAAAAGTCCCTTGCTCCTTGGAAGAAAAGCTATGACTAACCTAGACAGCATGTTAAAAAGCAGAGACGCTACTTTGCCAACAAAGGTCTGTCTAGTCAAAGCTATGGTTCTTCCAGTGGTCATGTATGGATGTGACAGTTGGGCTATAAAGAAAGCTGAGAACTGAAGAACTGATGCTTTTGAACTGTGGTGTTACAGAAGATTCTTGAGAGTCCCTTGGACTGCAAGGAGATCCAACTAGTCAATCCTAAAGGAGATCAACCCTGAATATTCATTGGAAAGACTGATGCTGAAGCTGAAACTCCAATACTTTGGCCACCTGATGCAAAGAGTTGACTCACTGGAAAGACCCTGATGCTGGGAAAGATTGAGGACAGGAGGATAAGGGAACAACAGAGGATGAGATGCTTGGGTGGCATCACCAACTCAGTGGACATGAATTTGAGAAAACTCCAGGAGATAGTGCAGGACAGGGAAGCCTGGTGTGCGGCAGTCCATGGGGTCACAAAGAGTCAGACATGATTTAGTGACTGAACAACAAGAGGCCTAAACAATACTCCTCCTAGTATCAGACAAGTGATCCTCCTCCTATATTTTTCCAGTTTTCTCCAAGAGATGACTAAGCAAAAGATGACAAGAACCAGTGAGAGGTGCCATATTTAACTCAAACACCAGCCTCCAGAGGAATCACTCTGATATGGTTTGGTAGAATCTTTCTGCTTAGATTTTAACTTCAGCTATACCAAAAAGACTGCAAGGAGATCCAACCAGTCCATCCTAAAGGAGATCAGTCCTGGGTGTTCATTGGAAGGACTGATGCTGAAGCTGAAACTCCAATCCTTTGGCCACCTCATGCGAAGAGTTGACTCATTGGAAAAGACCCTGATGCTGGGAGGGATTGCGGGCAGGAGGAGAAGGGGACAACAAAGGATGAGATGGTTGGATGGCATCACCGACTCGATGGACATGGGTTTGAGTAAACTCCCGGAGTTGGTGATGGACAGGGAGGCCTGGTGTGCTGCAGTCCCTGGGGTCACAAAGAGTTGGACATGACTGAGCGACTGAACTGGACTGGACTGGATACCAAAACAAAGGTTTTTCTGTACTACTAAGACTACTATTAATGTTAACATTATTAACAAAAATACTAATTCTAACATGAATGGTAATATTACAACCATTACTAATAATTCACTTGCAGTGCAGGAGACCTGGGTTCGATCCCTGGGATTGGAAGATCCCCTGGAGAAGGGAAAGACTACCCACTCCAGTATTCTGGCCTGGAGAATTCCATGGACTACACAGTCCATGGTGTCAAAAAGAATCAGACATGACTGAGTTACTTTCACTTTCACGTTTCAGCAACTATTCTAAATACTTTACACACATCATTGCATCTGGGAGATAGGTGTTACAATTTCCATCACCTCAGGCTTGGTCAGATGGGCATTTTTTTCCAAGTTTACATACCTGGTCAGATGGGCAATTTTTTTCTAAGCTTACATACCAAGCAAACCAGAATTCAAACACAAGTCTGACTCTGGAGCTAGAGCACCTCACTTAAATATTCTTCTAAACGAATTAGGACTCAAAGATCTTAAGAGACTAATCATATCTTCAGGGAATATAACTATCAGGAAATCTTCAAGAGTCATCTGACAAGGGAGATTAAACAACTCTGCAAGAGGTCACACCCTGATTTAAGAATCGGCTCTCTACAGATGAACTTATCAATGTCTGTAACACAGAAATACAGACACAGACATAGGGAACAAACATTGTGGGCACCACAGGGGAAGGGGGTTGGGAGGAATTGGGAGTT